AGGAGGCAGACGGCGTGGACTTGGATTTGGCCTGTGTGACTTGGGCAGTCACTTGCTCTCAGAGCCAAGTGGAGGCAACGGAGCTGAGGTCACCTGCTTGAATGACTCTGATGCCAGGGTGTGTGTGACGTGCTTAGGAAACGGGAACCAGCGTTTGCAACGCTGAAATGAAGATCTTGTCTCACATTACGAGACTGACTATCAAGAGAAGCACGGGCCCAAGGGAATTTGCACAGGACGTGTGGGCCTTTGCTGATGGGCTCAACGTGGGAGATGGAGATGCCAGAGGTGGCAAAGGAAGATGGAGCGGCTACCCAAGGCTGGGACACCCTCAGTCCAGGGTGTAGAATGAACTCTGGCGGCCTTCCCAAGGGAAGTAGTTCCAAGGGAAGTCGCAGGCGTGGCTAGCGAAGCCATCGTGTGAGCCACTAGGGAACAGAGCAGACCCCTGAGGCCTGGGGATGGAGGGCAGCCCATATTCAACACAGCCGGAACAGAGAGGCATGAAGATGATGCCAGGGGGTGGTTCAAGGTTCAAGGTTCAGGATGGGCAAAGAGGACAGTGTACAGCTCACACATGTGAAGGCTTCCAGGAGGGGAGTGGCCGCCTTCACCTAGGCTCAGAGGTCGATGGATCGAGATATCACTGAGGCTGGCAGAACGGGAGGGGAGAACACTTCTGGAAGCGACCCCATGAATGCCTCTACCTATTGCTGCCGTGTGCCAATCACGATGCGCCTAAAGAGGGTGCTGCCATGGAGCGACTCCCTGCAAAGACAGTAACTCTGTCTCTCACGGTGATACGGGGAAATCCAGTGCTGGGAGCCCAGATTAAGTGGAGTGGGCACAACAGGGTGTACCTAGTAATCCTCCCCAGAGATGGCAGGGCTGGGGCTGGGCCTTGAAGATTGAGTAGGCATTTGATAAACAGAGGAAGAGAAGGCATTCCTAGCCCGCCTGGGGGATCCAGTGTCAGCCAGAGACTGGGAGGTGTGAAAACTCAAGCAATTCCAGAGATGGTGGGGTAGGAGGCAGCAGGAAGCTAGCTAGAAGTGATCATGGCAAGTTTTTAAAGCCTGGCAAGTTTTTAAAGCGTGTAAATACCACACCAAGGAGTTCTTAGCTTTGTAGGAAACAAAGTTTCAGAAAATGATTGAGACCTGATTCCATCAGTCTCAGGAAGATCCCTTGGGAAAGGAAGTGGCAGGGATGGTACAGGGTCCCCGAAAAAGATATGCCTTGCAAGCCCTAACCCTGGAGACCTGTGGACACATGGATGTGAGCTTGTTTGGAAACAGCCTTGGCAGATGTTGACCCTTCACATGAGGTCACACTGGAGTAGGGCTGGACCTACTCCCATCTGAGTGGCCTCTTTCTAAAAGAGACACAGACGAAGACTTCCCTGTGACAATGGGGTGCTGTGCAGCCGTGACATGGGCTACTTGGTGGGCTGACAGCAGCCGGGGAGGACACAGCTCACTCAAGGGGCCCTGGTGATGTCAGACTACTAACTGTAAGGTCTAAAGTTTGAACCCACCAGCCACTCCAAGGGTGAAAGATGAGGCTTGCTGCTCCAGTAAAGATTTGCTCTTGGGAACCCAGAGGGGCAGTTCCACCTTGTCCTAGAGCACTGGTTCTCAACCTTCTTCATGCTGCGACCCTTTCATACAGTTCCTCATGTGTGGTGACCCCCCAGCCAGAAAATTATTTTCATTGCTACTTCATAACTGTCACTTTGCTACTGTTATGAATTGTCATATAAATATCTGATATGTAGGATGTATTTTCATTATTACAAATTGAACCTAATGAAAGCATAGTGATTAATCACAAAAACAATGCCATTCTATATTGTGAAATACTTATTTCTAATGACAAATCAATGAAATGTTGTCTTGAAGCATGGTGTAGCATGGGTAATAGTCTTCACGCCGGCTATTCATGTGTGGGCATATCTGCATGTGGGCCGACCCACCTGGAGATGGATAGAGGAGCGGTGTCTCAGGTCCTAAGACCATCAGAAATATGTTTTTTCCAATGGTCTTAGGCAGGGCTCCTCAAACTTTTTAAACAGGGGGCCAGTTCACTGTCCCTCAGACCTGTTGGAGGGCCAGGCTATAGTTTTAAAAAAACTATGAACAAATTCCTATGCACACTGCACATATCTTATTTTGAAGTAAAAAACAAACGGGGCAAAAACACTCGGCAGGCCACATGTGGCCCGCGGGTCATAGTTTGAGGATCCCTGGTCCTAGGTGACCGCTGTGAAAGGGTCAGGACTGTGCCTGTCTACAGGGAAACCTGTGGTGATTTGTGGTGACACCATGTGTGTCACACAGAACGGCGCCATCGAGTGTTCTTGGTCTTTTTTAAAAATCATTTTATTAGGGGCTCATACAACTCTGATCACAATCCATACATACATCAACTGTGTAAAGCACATTTGTACATTCATTGCCCTCGTCATTCTCAAAGCATTTGCTCTCCACTTAAGCCCCTGGCTTCAGCTCATTTTCCCCCTCCCTCCCCCCTCCCTCATGAACCCTTGATAAGATATAAATTATTATTTTGTCATATCTTGCACTGTCCGACGTCTCCCTTCACCCACGTTTCTATTGTCCATCCCCCAGGGAGGAGGTTATATGTAGATCCTTGTAATCGGTTCCCCCTTTCCACCCAATCCTCCCTCCACCCTCCCGGCTTGGTCTTAATCATTACGGAAGCAGGTTGTCAGCTCTTTCTTCTGCAGCACCACTGGGTGGGGTCAAGACACCAACCTGCAGGTTAATCGACATGTGCAAAGCCAATGGCACCGCTGATGAACTTGTGCCTGAAGTCAGGCAACATAAACAGCAAGTAAGAACAGAATGATAGGTTGAGCAAGACTGCAGGGGAAATTTTTAAGAAGTGTTGTAATTTAGTGCCTTGAAGCCCTGGTGCTTCTGTGGGATGGGGAAGGGTTGCTAGCGGCCCGAACCTACCAGCCCCTCTCGGGGAAAAGATGAGGCGGTTTGCGCTAGTAAAGATGGCCCTATCTGAGTTTCCGGTCACACATAGGTTTGCTGAGTCAGAATCAACTCCGTGGCAGTGGATTTTTTTAAGTGCTTCTCAAGACATTTTTTTCCCCTTCCATCTTTAATTTGCATGGAGCCTCACAAAGCATGTGCACCTGTGTAACCACTGCCACAAGAGCATGTCCAGCTTTCCTGGTATCCCTGTGCAGCTAGCCCACCTTCCCCAATGCCCACTCCATCTGCTTTCAAGACAGAGTGGATTTTAAAACTGGCAGCAGGCAGTTGGAGCTGAGGAAAAGCTATGCTGAGAGAGATGTGGGCGGGATCCCGAAAGGCGTAAACTAGCAGAGCCAGAGGTATGCGAGCAGGAAGGGCGGACGGTCCCTCCCCATTTCTTCTTCCCCCAGAGGTCTAGAGAGGCCAGCAGAGAAAGTGCGGGCAGGGGGCAGGAGAATTTTGCCCTAGCGAGGCATACAAAATCAACCTCACGGTGTCAATGCTGCTGCATAGAAACCCTACAAGACAGAGTAGAACTGCCCCTCGCGGTTCCCTGGGGTCCAGATCTTTACAGGAGTAGAAAGCCTCATCTTTGGCCCATCGAGAGGGTGGTGGTGTTGAGCTGCAGTCCGTGTGGTGAAGCAGCCTAACCGGTAAACCACTTCCCAAAAGGACTTGGAACCTTGGATTATTTTGTTATTGATCAAGAACCTGGTTCAAACACTTCCTGGTGCTGTGTCCTCTTCCAGCCCCCGCTGACCTCAAGTCTCGCAGCGGCTTCCTGCCCTTTCTGTCCCACCCCTAGCCTTTGTACCCCCACTCCCACCCCGTCCCTAGTCTTAGTAGACTGCGCTCCGCCTTCCAGCTCTGTGTACACGTTGCCTCCTCGGACCTTCCCAGGCTGACTTCTCAGTCACACGACTCAGTGTGATGCACTCAAAGTAATACACCGATTAGCACCTGTCTCTTCTCCACCCACCTCGAGAAAGAAAAAAAAATCTTACGAATAAGGTGTTTCATTCAGGGCTTAATTCCCAGGGCCTGGAAGAGTGTCAGGCACGAGGTTGAATCCACAGGAAACCGCGGAGCCAAGATCAGAGCTGTCAGGACGTGCAGCAAGGGCAGGGCGGCGCCGGCCGGCGGGGGACCTGGCGGCGGGAAGACCAAGCGCGCCCACTGACCTTTGCGTGCCCGCCCGCCCGGGCACTCCCACTCGGGGCAGAGGGGACCTTTTCTCGGGCCCGTGTTCTCTCGGGATTTGTATTCTCTTTTACAAACCTCTCCCCGTCTTAGTCTCACGTACAACCTCAGGGCTTCTTCCACTTGCCCTCACGTGGCTGCGGCATTTCTCCCAGGTGCGGGGGCAGGTCGGCCAGGGAGCGGCCCGCCCAGCCGGGGG